GGGGTAAATTAGTTCATTTTTTCACTTTATTAGTTTGCTTTGCAGTTTTCTTCATTATAATTCATTAATCATTTGGTTAAACCTAGCACTGGTATTATGAGGCGCGCACATAATAACATTGTGTGGTTTTTCTAAAATGTTTTGTTATATTAATTATGTTTTTCTTTCTTTGAGTTACCTGGGTTTGGGCGGTGGCTGTTTCCTGTCTGGGCAAAAGGCGTGGCTGAGGACTCTGTGAGCAAAATGCCTGCTCAGCAGGACCAACCATGGGCTTACCAGGAGCAGGGTGTTTTAGGTGTAGTTAGGTTATTCTGTGTTTAGTTAATATTAGTGTGTTTTTGTTTCCCCCCCCCCTATTGTGTTCAAATGGTTTGGCCAAATCATTATAAAAGCTACCCTCATGTGTCTTTGTAATTAGGTCAGTTTGTGAGTTAAGTTGTGTCTCACTTTGTTTTGTTTAAGTTCCTGGAAATTACTTTTTGTGGAGTTATATTTAGTTGACCTCTTTTATGGGCCTGCTAACTATGTTTTTGAATTTTGTTAATTTTGAACTTTTTGAGGGTTAAAATAAAGGAAACCCTTTTTGAAGATATTTTTTTGCCTGTGTCCTCTTTGCTTTGGCTGCTTGGTCCCTCACTGCAGTATTTATTCACAGGGATACTAGATGCAAATTTAACCTCCTCTGATAAAGGCAAGAAATGTTCTGTGACACATTTTTAAACTTTCCTCGATCAAACCATAATAACTTTATCACAAGTCATCCTTTATAAAATGTTAATAAGCTGTAATTAAAGTAAATAAAGCTTTACTTTTCCTTCATAGACTGATGTTGAGCTATTGATATTTTTTTTTTGAAATCTTGTGGAAAATCTACTTCCCCAGAAATCTTTGTGTTATTTTAGTCCTTTAACCCTTTAATCAGAAACCCAGCGAGTGGGCATAATCTAGAAAAGGGCTCCAGGACAATGGTGTTGATATGCATGCAAAACGTAATATAGTAAAAATGCATAACACTACAAACCCTTAAGCACAAAGTAATTAAAAAGCATTAAAATCCCTGAAACTAAAAACATTTTTTTTTTCCATTTCTCTGATGATTTCTTTGTTTTTGAGTTAATTTAAGGGCTTATTTATGATCAAGTTGAACTAATTCAGTAACTGTGATTTCTCTATCCTTTTTTGTATTGTTTTCACACATGTGACACCATCGTTAGTGTGTGTG